CCCTCTTTCTGTTCCCTGATGGGATTGAGCAAATGGCTGCAATAGTTCATTTCACATAAGGAGTGTACACTCTTATACAGAGTGTCTTTTGATGTATTTCCAGTCAGATGCAGAGGGGATTTTGGCAGACAGCATGGCTCCCAGCAGGCATCAGCACAGCCTCCGACCTGGAGCCACCACAGAGTAACTGTAAGAGGTCTGCTGCTAATTGTGCATAAATATGTCTCACACTTTGGTGACAGATTTTCATTGTGTTCAGAGGGAAAATATTCCCAGCTTTTGCCAGTGTGAGTGCACAGTGCTGAAAACCACAGCTGCCTGTGGAATGAAAACAAATGTTGTTGCACCTGCTTTTATTTGCTCTTAAGTTGAGGGAAAAGTAATAAAAATCAACCATTTTCGGAATGAAACTTAAGCTTCTTTCTATCAGAAGGTCAAGGAGACAGGCTGTCGCTATGTACCACCATGCTGTTTATTTATTATTTATTTAATTCATTCAGTTTTTTTACAACACTAATGGAGTCTGAGTGTTGGTCAGATTTCTGCCAGGATTCGGACAGCTTGTCCTGCGATGCCTGTATGACAGGCTTGACATGTCTTTTCTGGTGTTCAGGGGATGTTTAGTAAAAAAAAAAAACTCAACACTTTGCAATAAGGGTGCAAATCATATACTTAAGTAATTTTGAACTACTGCATGACTCTTAATGCATGAATTACTGCAAGATGACTCATGAGTTCCTATTTCTCACCAGTACCAAATTATCAAGTTGCTATGGCTTTCTGTGATTAGCTCAGACTTAAAACATCAATTAATTACTGTAATTCACATGTATTTCATATATTTAACTGATGTGCCACCAAATTAGATGCATTCTAGGTCGACAAAGATTCACTTACAACCCATGTGTTTGATCAGAACAAGAGCATCTAGTCCAATGGAAATATGAAATCATGTTTTTACAGAAATAAGTGGCATGTAATGTGGTTTAAAAAATCATTTAGCAGTTGCAATTTGACAAATTAAACATTCCTGGCATTTTTTTTAACCTTCTTATAATTTGTGCAGTCAGTTGTTTTCTAACGTGTAAATGTGACATACATCCATACACAGGCGACATGCATACAGCTGGATTATCCAGCAACAAACTTGATAGTGACCCTAACGAACAAAAAGGCACTCATAAGCATTAGGATGCATCCTCAGGAGATCTGGAATGTTTCACTACTGAATATATAGTAAGTCAAATCGGTGCTTAATGAAGTGACTAACCTTCAGCACAGTTTTATTTAGGATTTAGTTGCCTTGGCTGCTTAAGAAAGCCGCTGTCAGCAATGTAGAGCTGCTTTGAACTGTCTTATCAACAGCAGCAGCCTCATCAGCCACATGATGGAGAGGTGGGAAGAGGAAGCAATAGCGATGAGATAGGAGACAATTTGTCGGACGGACAGATAGATAGAGAAGAGAACAAATGGAGAGAATGGCAGCAATGCAGAAAGACTGAACAGAGTTTGGCAAGTTTATTCAAGCAAGTCAGTGTGTGTGTTTCTGTTTGTGTATGTGACTGAGGGCGTGGGGAGATAATGGGGTAATGGTGCTCAGTGAAGTGTGACGGAGTCACAAGGGAGAGAGTGATATGAAGAGGGAGGTTGAGAGGGAGACGAAGGACAACAGAAGCTAATTGAGTGTTGCCAGAGCCACCAGTAGGAAACATCTTTCTGAAGAGCAGAGGAGCAGGTGAGGACAAAATAAATGGCATCCACTGGAGCTCTGTCCATGTGTAATTGGTCTCAACATTACATTATAACTGATTCTTACTGTTTGTCTTTTGGCCCTGACAGTCGTGCAACTGTGATGTAGTTTAGGCAGAGAGCTCTTTGCTCGTTAATTTTATTTATCCACCCATCCATTAGCTATGCCACTTACTCTGTAGAGGATCATGGGGGAGGCTGGAGTGTGTAATGGTTTTGTATAAACTTGTATCTTGGATCAAGTGCAGGACAGAACCGGAGCAGAGAAGGGAAATGGAGCTTTATTATAAATATACAAGTGGACACCATGGTGAGTGTAGAGGCCATGGAAACACACTGAGACACGCCACAATAACAAGTTATAATTTCAAAGGGACGCATCCACTTTGACAAGAGTTCGAGACTAACTGTCAAACCTTCATCTGCTAACCACTAATTCATGATTGAGTGTGGCTGTGGCTGCGTGAGAGCAGATGAACGAAGGCTGGGCAGCTCCAGCACTGTCCACAGGAGAAACAAGTGAGTGAGGAACTGCAGTGAGTCAGACAAACAGAAAGGGACGCATGACGTAGTGAGGGTTCAGCTGGAATTTGTGCTGAATAAATGGCCTAAATTTCTATCATCAGCCTGATGTGTGATGACCAATTACCCCCTCTGCTTCACGTTGTGAAATGACCCTGACATCCACATCCCCCGGCCCTCCAATCTCCTCAACTTCACATTCTAATAAAGACTAATGTGTTTGCCGACATCAGCTCTCTCTCATTAGCATGATTAATTGCCACCTTGCTTTAGGTAAACAGTATGATCTGTATTCCAATTTATTCAAGGAAAATTAACCAATCATAATTAAATGCTCTCATCTTTCTCTCCCTCATCTCTCCACATACAAGCGCTCTCTCTACACACGGGGCAAATGTTTGTTGATTAATTTTGCCTCTATTCCTGTCCGTGGACAGATGAAGTGAGCATGGCATGGTGCAGGGTGAGCGTTCATAAAGAGCCAGAGTCAGCCTCGTAATGGTCAGTTTTTAATGGGCTGATTTATTGCAGGAGCACACAGAAAGGGCAACTTGCCTTCTCCTCGCAGTCTGAAGCCGACCTCACAGATCCCTTCCGCCCTTGTTGCAATGTCACATTTTACAATGTGAAGGGCAGCTTCCGTGCAACGCAATAAACACAGCGACAGGAAATAAATGTGGTTGACCTTCACTGGAGTCAGAGAGAATCTGGAATCAAGAGACAAATTAGATTTAGGATTAGCTTTTGATGGAGTGATAGCGACAGAGATGGTGAGATAAGAAGGTATGGCTATAATTGTATCACAGCAGTGGAGAGATTACTGTAGGTTGAGGAGAGAGTTTGGTACAGAATTGATCCAACACCAAACCTGCATCCTTATACACGGGCTGTGTAGCATCTGACAGAGGAAATCCACAGCTCTGTGTCTCTACAGAGTATCATACATTATCATGTTTATTTTAAGGGACCTGTTGCAAAAATCACACCTTTTTTTTCTTCTTAGAGTCAGACTGAGTCCGAATGCACAAACATTAAACATAAACAAGACCTAGTAAAGTCAGCACTACATCCACTTTCTAGCAATTGCAGGTGTTTTTACTGTTTTATCTTTTGAGGATAAAGTGCCATAAATCTGCCATACTTTGGATACTGTGTGTCAGCATTTGTCCTGCAGCACAAAAGCAACACTTTTTTACAGTTTATCAGCATGATTCATTTCTCAGTTGTTTGTGATGTTTACACTGACATTGTGAAGAGGTTTGCGATGTAGAAGTGCTGATGGAACTGCACACCCTCCTCATCTTGAGTCTACCCTTCACTTTTACTGCAGCAACCATCCATCCATTTCCCAAACTGCTTGTCTTGTGCAGGGTTGGAGGTGGATAGAGCACGTCCATGTTGGCACAATGCCAGCAGGTAGCTGTTCACATCATACACACTGTTACAATAACATTTAATACCAGAATAAAATTGTTAGGACTGCAGTTTGCAAACAAGGAAGTAGATGTCTCAAAATGCGAGAAAACAAAAGCCATGATGGGATAAAATGTACCTCTTAACGAAGTATCTTTTGACCCTCCTCTCTGTGCAGAGCACCTAAAGGTTCCATTGGAGCGGTACATGATGCGGATACCAAAGGTTCACATCCTGAGGACTAAGAAGAGGGAGGGGCTGATCAGGACACGCCTGCTTGGAGCTGCCACTGCTAAAGGGGAAGTCATCACCTTCCTGGACTCCCACTGTGAGGCCAACATCAATTGGCTGCCTCCGCTGCTGGGTGAGGAACATACACTCACATACACACTTCTCTCAAACACAGAACCACTCACTCAAACACACAGACATGTTTTAATGTCTATACTTATGAGGATCCTTGTTAATATAATACACTTCATTGCCCCTTGCCAACATTTGATGATAGAAGGATTTAACATCACACGCAATGGCAAGAAATCACTTTATTCTGCAAGAAGACAGGATGTTTCTGGCCATCAGGCCTTTGTCAGTGTCCAAACACTGACACTGGACACTAATGAAGGCCTGATGGCCAAAAATGTCCTGTCTTCTTGCAGAATAAAGTGATTTCTTGTCACTGAGTACAGCCCTAATTTACAATTATTGGATAATACTACTGGGATGACCAGTCTTTCCTGAGCACAGTGGAGTCTGTACATAAAAGCATCAAATAGCAAGATGATAATTTTAGGACTGGTTCAGATGTTCCTACTTGTTCTAATTTTCAGATATGTACTTGTTCAAAATGTCTCTTACTTTCTCAAAAATACCCCCTCTCTTTTCCATAAATGTACGCTTTCCAAAATACCCCTAAGTTTTTACTTTTCAAAAACCTTCTCACTTTCTAAAAAATCTTCAGTTTTCCATTGTGGAAATGTCCTCAGTGAAAGTAGAGCAGAGCACGAACACACAACAAAATCCTCACACACACACACATACACACACATACACACCACCCCTACTGTGAAACTTCCTCTTCTGGCTGATGGGCACCAACACTCTCACTTTCTCAATTACCCTATTTTCATTAATGGCCCGTGTTCAGCTCTGTTCCCCAGCATGACGTCATCCTTTATGGACCCTTTCACAAACAAACCTTATGACCCATGTTACCTTAATGTTGTGCTGTTTACATAGTACATGGAAATAGGATACACGTCTGCCCGTGTATAACACAAACAGGCAGTCGTGTTCATTACAGCCCACCATGGCAATTAGAATATTAATAACAGAGACAAGCCATGGAGGCTGTGAGGAAATAATGAGTCAGACTTCATTTTTATGCATGTTTTCATCATGTCTGATATTCAAATGACTAATATTTTAATGTATAATTTCTATTTAAAACAGGAGGTTAAAAAATCACACACTAAAAAATATATATCCAGAGTGAAGGCAGGTGAATGTATAGTATGGGATCAGGAAAAGCCACAAATGAATGTTGCCAAAACATCCATTTTATTGACATCACATTTTAAAAACCCAGGTTGCCCAGAATTCTATAGGAAAACCTGTGTTCTTGTGTGACAGAGCCACAGGTCAGTCGATGTGTCCAAACCCCACTGAGTTGTTGATGATGAGCAGTGGAGATGACAGGGAGAGCTGTGACATCAGCTGTTCATCCCTCGTTGACCCCTTTTCACTGAGTGACTCATGTCAGCAGACCTGTTTCTACAGATGTGCAGCTGACATGTGTTAAGAGCTTAGTGGAAGCAGGACAAAGCACACAAATGAACACACATCTATAAAATAGTATGAGTGTTTTTTTCCTTCCTGGACAAAACCTCACTCTAACACTGTAGCTGAGAGGTTGCTAATTTAAAATACAAGCACAAATACAAGCCTTACAAAAATGAAACCTTGTCTGTGTTTGCTGTGATTCTTCAGTGAAATGCAGCCCTGTAACTTTGTTGAATGTATCAACCATCTGCTTCTCTGTGTCTCTCAGATCGAATCGCCCAGAACAGGAAGGCTATTGTGTGTCCGATGATCGATGTGATCGACCACGACCACTTTGGATATGACACGCAGGCAGGGGACGCCATGCGAGGGGCATTTGACTGGGAAATGTACTACAAACGAATTCCCATCCCTCCGGAGCTGCAGAGGGATGACCCCAGTGAACCCTTTGAGTGAGAGCTCACACTGTCTCTAAGCTGCTCTAAGCAGACATTCAGTGTGCTATAGAGCGTGAGGAATAGTTCTTAGTTGTTGTCACTTCTCCTACTCTCCACACTGACCCTGAATGTTTCCTCCTGGAATGTCTTTATGCAAAATGAGGGTCAAGATACACAACTTTTGCTCTGTGGAGCAAAATTAGTTTGAGCTCCAAATACAGTTTCTCTTTCCCACTAAGCGAATTCAAGTCAGTATTTTTCAAAGTTAGACTAAGACACATTTTTTTGTGTCCCTGGTTAGTAGTTCCATGCTGGGCTGCGGTGGAGGGATGCATTCTAGTAGTAACCTTGTTGTTGTTAGCCAATGTTTTCTACCCAAGTGGTGCTCAGAGTTTGTACCTTGAAGATTTTATAGCCGGAGTATTTTTGGAGCTTGTAATTTTGGGACACCAGTAAATCCTGCTCCTGTGTTTGGATTGTATTTGTGCATGTGACATCTCAGTCACCCTGCATTTGAGCCTCAGACAAAGTTTGGAGTGAATTTTTGCACAGAATGAGTCGTGTAGTTTGATACTCATTTTTGTAGCGTAGAGGTTTTCAGGGTGGGAACATTCAGGGTCAGTGTGGAGAGTAGGAGACGTGACAACGGCTAAAGCCTGTTCTCACATACATCAGTATTGTTTTAACAGCCTGAAAAATCCCGAACTATTCCTCTAAACAGTCTGATTTCTCATGCTGGACTTTCTTTGTATTTCATCACCAACACCGCCTTTTCACTGTTTTAACACAGGATTCTGGGCTAGTCTAGCAAAGAACAACCCCCTAACACCTCTCCACACACATACACACTTCCCCCACCTAACTCTGGAAGATGTTTAAGTTGTGTGCAGGAGGTGGCGACAGGCTGAAAGCCAGTATTTCATTACTTTTTAACGTTTCTGGTCAGAGCTCTGAGGTCGCACATCAGGCAGTCAAACCCCCCTGAACAGCCACTTCACTGCTGAACTGCAGAGTGCTCTGCTAGCGACTATGCCAACTCATGAATTAAGCATTGTGTGTTGGTTCTCCCACTTCACAGCCACACTGTTGTTCCACAGCATTTTTATACATGGAACACCTAGAAACTGGTGCCAAATGCCCAATCATGAATCTCTTTTTATCACCATGTATAATGGTCATAGCGGAGGCTTGGGCCACTCAGCAGCTACAACAGACCAGATTTAATGAAGCAAACAGAACCTGAACTGTAGTCCACTGCCCTGTGTAGCCACCTGTCTGTGGCAGGGTTGGAAGGAAAAAGTGTCTCAGGATTACTGTGAAAAATAAGGAAGTACCATTTCATTTTTCCATGTGCAATAATATAATTTCTGAGGGGAAAATATGACTGAACAGTGTGTTAATACAACATGAGCTTGCTTAATTAAGACAGCGCACTGAGCTGAAATGTATAAATGTTGGTGTGGATGAACCTGAGTGGTCTATCCAGAGCAATGAGCTCAACCCCGTTCAGAACCTTTGGAATGAAGTGGAACGCCTGCTGTTGGCCAGGAATATCTCCCAGCATCAGTGACTGGCCTCACTCATGTGGAATGATGAGAGCAAACCCTTTCAGCAGGTTTTATGCAAAGACTGAGCCCAGATGTTTGTAGGCTGCTACTGAAGAAGTGGATGAAATGCTCAGATGTCTATATACTGTAACTTCTTGTGGACATTTATCCTTTATCAGAAGATATAGACTATTACACTATCATCATATATAACACCAAATAGTTTTTACTTTATTTAAAATATGAACATGTGCTGTAAACGAACTGCATGACTGTGGAACACAGTTTGCCCAGGCTGATAAGTTAAAAACACTGAACAAAAAAAGTGCTGGAAAGAGGAGCAGAGGGTTTGATATCACTGCTATGTTCATTTCACCTCTGTCACCCTTGGAGAAGGAAAACTGCAGAAATCCTGCTCACCCTGGGACTCTTAGTTATGCTCACTGCTCATGAGGCACAGGAAGTCCCGGAGTGTTTCTTATCACTGACAGTAGAGTAGCTGCCCCGCTTCCCTTTAATTGGCCCTCTTCAGGGACGACTTTGGCGAAAGCAGACAACTGCTGGCTGCTTGCTCTGACTTCTACCTGATGAAAAGCTTGTAACTATGACAACCTGGTGTACCTGCAAGTGTGTGTGTTGTGATATTTCTGCACAGAAGAGAACAGCATTTCTGTGGGAAATGAAAAGATGAGACGGATTCACGGAATCAAGTTTTGATTGATTGTCAAAATTAGCATTACATTAACTGGAATTAAGCAAGGCATGTGATGGAGAGAGTTGGGGTTAAGGATCGGATCCATTTGATTAAGTTCCTCACAAGAAATTTAATTTGAGTTTGTATATGTGTCTGCACCTGCTGTCCCAACCTTTCTGCTTTAGGTGTGCTGCAGATATCACATACAACAGCTAACAAGCCCTGCACTCAGCAGCACACAGCACCTCAAACAGTGCCCTGTAGTGGGTTAATTGGTTCTGCAATGTTCAGAGCATTCTCATTATCTGGAGAAAAATACAAACGCATGCACTTTAACTTACTGTCTGCACCCCTCTGTTTTCTTTTATTGTTCTTGAAGAAAAGTGAAAGTCTATTTTTCAAGAGTTTAGTACCTACTTTCACTACTCTAAAGACTATGTTGCTCTTTTGTAGAGGGCAGTAGCTGTAGCCAGCAGCTGTAGTGGCTTCCAACTGAGATCCAGAGTCAAAGAAAAGCACAGTAAAGAGATGCATGGAAACCTCTCAGACCTTTTAGCATGATCCTCCTCTATAAACTATTTCAGTGTGTTATGTTTAAAACAATTGTCACTTTGCCAGTAACTTCTGTCAGTGGTGCTATACATTTTTTTTTTTTTTTTTGCTTTGACTTCTTCAGATCCAACACCATAATAATTTTCTCTCCTCTTAGTCACAGACTGTATACATTTGACTTTCCCCTTCCAAACCAACATATGAAGAGACATGTTCAAGCGAACCATTCGAATCAAAAATGTGTCACGTTATGGGAGATGCTGGAACAACAGTTTCACTGTGACTTAGTGACCATAGATTTCAATGGAACTAAGTGTCACTTCACATCTCATTGGTCACATCATATTTATTCATATCAAGCACCTGTTCTTGTAGAGGAATGTGTATTGAAAGTTATGCACATAACATTTATTCAATCACTATCATTTTCACCAGTTCCCTTGTTTATTACCACAAAGTTCCTGCTGTGACTTTTTGACATTTCAGTTGTTAAGTGTGAGGGTTTCTGGTTGTTTTTCTCACCATCTTTTTTCAGTCTGATAAAATGACGAGCAGCTCATTAGTTGTTGCAATTATTTGCAACAGATAATGAGCTAAACATCTGTTTGGATGTTTTCTTTTGGCAGCTGAGAAGTGCGTTGGGAAAAAACTAGGAATGTTCTGTATGTAAATGTGGTAGTTTTGAGGACAGCAAATATACATAAATGCATGTTGTGTGCTGCAGGTCGCCGGTGATGGCAGGAGGCCTGTTTGCTGTGGATAGGAAGTGGTTCTGGGAGCTGGGAGGATACGACACGGGTCTGGAGATCTGGGGAGGAGAGCAGTACGAGATCTCCTTCAAGGTAAAAACATGCAGTATCATTCAGTAATTTTAAAAATGTTCAAATGCACGTGAGATTTCAATATTTTACCGTATTCGCTCAGCTGTAACCAACAAGTCTGACAACTCTTCAGCCCTTTGCTATTGCATCAGGATCATACACATAATTATGATGCAGCATATTGTCCCCAAGCCATGACACTATCCTCTTGTCTTTTGGCTTCAGGCACATCTAATACTTTATGTATTGGTTCTCTTAAGGCTTTGTTTGTTTTAGAAGACCAAGGACATTTAGGACTTTGTTTTCTCTTTCAGAAACTTATTTCAAATGCTCCCCTTCATATTCATTAGATTTGGAGTTCCTGTTGTGAGACTGGCATTGTTCCCAACTTGTCCCACACCCTCTTCACACCAGGTCCTTGTAGCCTTAGCTGATGTCTGACCTCCATCTTTTTGTCAGAATTAGAGAACAGTGGTTTCCACAGTCTATCAGAAAAAGCTTTCCTTAAGTCCTGCTTTCTTAGTTTTATATTTAAATGTAATATTTAAATTAAACAGGAGGGTGATGAATCCTGTATCGTTTACTATTTTAGACCAGTGGTCAGTGTTGATCTTTTTATAACCACAAACTTTTTTAAACTTTAATAGTTTTTGTGTCTAAACCAAACTTTTATTAATCATATTTTAACGGTTGTTTGTAACTGTTATGAGACACTGAATGGCAAGCAGCCTTCTACCGACAGCAGAACAGACCAGATCAGAGACAAATGACGTATTTTGTCAATACATTTTAAGCAATTGTGTCAGTGGTGACAGCAGTGATGATGCAGACGGCATCGAATAAGCAGGAGAGAGGCTCAGTGACTTCTTTTCAATAACACTTGACATACTGGCTGATCTCAAAAACTCATTTCCCACACAACTTCTCAACTTCAACAGTGGAAATGTGATGAGGAAGTATAAATCAGTTCCTACACCAAACATATGGCTGCACCAGTATAATTACCCTAAACCAAAGGTAAACCGGTATTTGAGTGTTTAAACCCTGAGCAAAGTGAGAGGATTTCTTACATTTAAAGCTGCGAGTGTGTAATGTGAAAATGCTGGGCTTTGACTAACACTGGCCGTGACCCTGGTGCATAAAGCTCTTATGTTTTAATACTGTTTTGAAGTGTTTCATCTTATTCAAATACTGAGTTGATATTGAATACCAAGGTTATTATTTTGGCCAAGGTTATCATACTATTAAATGTTGCTATCAGCACATGGCTAGCTGAGCCTCTAGTCTGCATGCTTTATGCCCTCAGATATTCAATTTGGTTTCCTGTTTATTAAGATCCTAATTAGCTGATACAGTGCAGACAGCCAGTCTCTGGAGGTGAGAAGATTAACAGGCTTCTCATAGTAATCCTTACAGCCAAACTCCTGCTCCCACAGACAGCCAGGCCTGGCTCACATGTGAAATACAATCACTTCATTCACTGACTGGCACCGTTATTCTAAACCATTCTGGTGTCACTTGTATGGGAGTACAGTGATAATGTCAGGACATTCAGCCTCACAGGGCACAGAGGCAATGTGACCTCATGCAGAGTCAGATGATAGTGCATGTTATGAAAACGCTTCTCTAAGACAAAGCTGCTCTGGAGGCTGAAATTATCACGTATCTATGGATGAAACCAAATGAGTGTTTAGAGGTGGAGGCATCGAGCTGCAAACAGCTAGAAAATGTTTCTAAAAATATAGATTAAGAAATAAATTACATGATATAGTATTTTTAATCTTAGATGGAAAGGCTGCCGACATAAACTTTCCGATATTGATAAGATAATACTATTGTTGCCATAGCAATGCAGTGCCTTCGGGTCCTTGTTTCCATGACAACACCAGCAAACAGTCAGTCCTGGCTTGAGAAAACTAACTTTACAGTTAAAGGCCTTTTCTTTCATCCCCCCTTAAAACCAAATGTCTGTATCACCCTAAGGTTCATGTCTCAAAAAACAACATTTAAACCATGTGACATTAACAAACCACAGTCTGTTTACACTGGTGTAAGAACCAGGACCAACCTTGAAGTATTACAGCCCTCACTTCCATTCACTGCTGCCAGCCTTTGGTTGAGTCATTATTATTCAAGCAATGGAAGAAAGCAACTGAAATACAATATACACTGAAGTGAATGCATTAATGTTTTTTATTCTCAGACACAAATAGCGACAACAGATTTTTGTTGAACTCTACGCCAGTTCTTGATTTTGCCTTGTGGCAGGATGTTTTATTCATGCAGTTGGAGTGAATTCTGTTGTTCTGTAGTGTCTCTGCATCAGCTCAGCTACTGTACGCACACTTGTGTGATCTGACTTGGTAAAACGTCATCTGCAACAGACCAGAGTGACTGTGGCTGTAATTCAGTGGCACTAATGTTAAGACACGGTTGTGAGGGCTGAATGGTTTTTTGGCCTGTTTGCTGGTGCTCGAATTTATTCCCATGTGCAAAGTGGCTTTGTATAACAACATCTTTCAGGTCAATCTGTGCACTGGTAGGGCCAACATTAAATCATGGGTGTCAGATGTTTTTGATTTGAGGTCAACCATTCATTCTTGACCCTGGAAGAGCCAGTTGACAAAACGGTCTCAAATGATTCATTAAACATTTAAAAGTAAATGTTTCAGTAGTTAATTAGCTTCCTAATTACCATAGTCTAACTTCCTGGATTTGGGCAGCAGGTTTTATGCTAATTGGCTTTCAAACATGACATATTTACTTTTTTTGCCCGTTGTGTTTTCAGTGCAGTGTTAAAAAAGAAACAACTTTATTTTAGTGACAATAGTCATGATTTAGGTTTTTCATTCATATCTATATACAGTATATATCTGTAATTTTATTGAACCAGGAATGTCCCATTGACAAACAAAATCCCTTCTTCCAGGGAGTCCTCGTCAAGAGGCAGTACAAACAGTTTCATTGTATAAGATGCATTGTCTGGATGCACTGGGACGCATCGTCAGTGATGTTCCGAGGGTCATTGGGTGTTTTGGGTTTTTCAGCATCAGACACCCTCATCCAGGTGACTCAGTGGGAGCTGATCAAGCCCTGACTTGTGTCCCAGCAGCAGTTACCCATGATTCAGCACGCTTAGTACAAAGCCACCTAGTCTCTTTCTCTGTGGCTTTGCTCACAGATCTTTTGGCCCCCCTTTTTTGCCTCGCCTGCGATATCCATGTTTCTCAGGGCTGCAGAGTGAGCCTCCTGCAAAACCTCTGAGAAAATAATCAGAGCTTGCCAGAGTGGTGTCACAAGAATTTACTGCAGAAACAGCACAGGTCGACGAACAACCGCCAGTTAGGGGCTGTAGAGAGGAGAACCGTCCTGATTCTTGATTGTGGGAGGGGACTCTGGTTCGAGCAGATAGCAGTGACTATACTCTCTGCAACCACCCTGAGCATCTGGCCAGGGCACCATTGATAGCAGCCTTCCCCTAGGGCTTCTGGGCAGCTGATGAGTAGATGTTCGAAAGATCCTTTTCCAGAGCAAAGAAACAATTTCACATATATATAAAAAGAAAATCTTCACAAGATTCACAAGAACACACACTGTACAAATAAACAAAAGAAAATAATATAATTAACTGGGCCACACCAACGATTATTCATAAAACATCTCAATTCATGTCAGAGATTCACTGAAGCAGCAACATGTTTACTTCCGAAAAGAGAAGGGAGTGCTTCCAGAGTGATAACTTTTTTTGTCGTTCATTCAGCGCATGAGCTGCATCAAAAGAGAAATCCAAAAATGTCCATGCTCTCGAACTCCCCACAGTTTCAACCTGCCTCTAACCTTCAAATAGCACAAACCTTATTTACATATTAGAAGACTCTGCAGAAAATATTTGCAGGCACACCGTGCTCTCTCCATGCTCTTTTGTTTGTTTTCATGTTTAAATTCAGCGTTTCATTTCCCTGCTTTTCATTTTTCTATTGTGTTGAAAACAAAACCTCTTTTCCATCTTGCCAGCTGTCTCCAAGTCTTTCTTTCTTCTTCATCCTTTTTATCACCTTCCTTTCTTTCTCCAGGTTTATTTTCACTCCTGAAAACCAAGAACGAGAATCATCACCACTGTATTCATTATAGATGGAGGATTAAAATAAGGAGCTACTGCTGCATGTCCCTTTTATGTGAGATAGACATGAAAAGAAAAGGGAAAATCACTGTAAAGCAAAGTTTCTCTTTACATTAGTACATCAGTGTGCTTTAAACAGATTAAACCGTTATTGCCATTATTTCAAACAGTTTCAGACTGCCTTGTTGTCCTGAAAAGCTTTTGTAGTTGGCAGGTTTTGCAGCTGCCTTTGTGCTCACATTTTTCCAATACCCACAAAGTTTATTCACTCTCATCAGATTCTGCAACGGTAACATAATGGATAATAATCGGGTTTTGAAGCCTCATCTTCTTCCCCCAGTATCCCCCCATCTCTTTGTTAATCCCCCTCTGGTTTCACTCCTCTCTCCTGTTTGTCCCCCACAGTTTATTTGGCTGTTAGAACCTGTGTACTTCAAACCTGAGTCTTCTGAGTCAGCCTCTGCTTTGCTTTCCTTGCCTTGCCTTGCCTTTCCACAACTTTCTGTCTTTGAATCTTAAGACAGGCAAAGCTTCTAAATGCAGAGATCTGGCTGATAAAAGTGCTTCCTCTGTGTCTTTGAAGGTGTGGATGTGTGGTGGTCGGATGGAGGACATCCCCTGCTCCAGGGTAGGACACATCTACAGGAAATATGTCCCCTACAAGGTCCCTGGTGGAATCAGCTTGGCAAAGGTAATTCTTCACACCATGTGCCTCCAGATTCATGATGAAATACAATATATCAGAACAGTTACGGGTTTTCTGTACACTGTAATAGCCTGACACAGTGGGTCAGTGTAGGGTCAGTGATGTCACTTCGGTTACATGTCACAACACAACAGTGGACTTGCATTATACTATACAGCATGTCACGTGCTGCGGTATCTGAGATTTTACACACTGTGTGAAAAATCTAGTGACACTGGTTTGGTCCTTCTTAACAGGTGCATTTTATGAAACCTAATTATGCAAAAATCACTGTGGATGTAGTATTAATCTTTGCAAAATTAGTTAAACATACTTGCTTTTATTAAATCAATGGCTAAATAAACATATGAGGACCATCCCTTAGGTTTGTCCGTCCCCTGACTGTTCTTTTAAAGTGAGAGGAATGTCACAAGTCCATTGTGTTTAAACTGAACAAATTACGAAGCTCTTTGACAGCAACAATGCACTGCTTATATAATTTATATTAGTAGTATTGCATCTATTTTTCTACCCTCCAGTGTCTTAAAAATTTCTTATCACTAAGGGTTCTTGATTAAACAAATTAAATCAAATTATGCTCTTACAAAACGTGACATCTTAATAGCAAAACCTTTTACTTTTAGCATTCTCCAGTATTCAAATACAAGACTCTTCACTATGATTATACTTATTTTACAAAAACTGTACAAATACTTGGCTTTATGCTATGCTGAATTATGTATTGGTGCGAGACCGGATATTTCAGTTCAGGAGACAGGGAGTAGGAAGAGTTGGAAACATCTTCTCGTGCAAATACACACGCTTACTGAGCATCTGTGTCCGTGAGCTGCACCAACTGAGTGGAACCTAACTGAAATTAGGTGTAACTGAATTCATCAGCTAACAAGAGGGAATTAATGGACAGTTGTTTAAGTAAGCACAGGTAGGCTACACCAATAAACAGACACAAACACGTATCAATTGTACCCTCATGCAGACATACCGTTTATTGTACATTCTATGAGAGGTGTCTAACAAATGGCAGCACTTTTGTTTCCTATGTCCTTTACTAAGTACTCTTCTCTTTTTCCTGCACGTACTGTATGAGAGCACTTTACAGTCAGCTCAGCACCTGCTAACAAAAGACCACCAGATGAGAAGCAGGAGTGTGCAGTTTATCCACCATCTACGACTTATAGCCTTCACAGGTGCTACTGGGAAGTCAAAGTACTTATACGGAATGACAAATTGTCTAAAGGCACTAAATCATACGGGGTGTAGTGGAACTCCATTCATTATGTATGCTTCTGCTGCAGCCTGGAACTCGGCTCAGTATGCAACTGAAAGACACTGGCCTTTGTTTTGCTTTTTTTATCCTGACCAACAGTCTTTAAACTCGACCTCAGTGGAATACTGATGGCTCTGGATGAGCCTGACCATGCAGACAAAGGAGGTTATTTACATAAGGGTACTATAAATGAACTCAGTCTTGTTCTCTGCACAAATTTGAAACTGCTTCATCATTCTTCAGTTTTTCTTTTCTTCAGCACTTCATGGAGAACGACAGGTGAAGTGAACTTGAATAGAGTTGGCTTTCAATGGTGAAACGTTTTCATAGCTGCAGCAAAGTAGCATAACAATGGTGTTATGTTGGATTATTCTCAGGCACAGTCAAGACATGGTTCCCGCTGTCATGTAGATTCCCTGAGCCCGACCTACAGTGCAACCAGCAGGCTGTACATTCACAGAACAGTCTAGCAGATTCAGTCCAGCATGATTCCAGAAAATCCTCCTCACTGCTAGAACTGTGGGACTTTGTGTTTTATGTGTGGGGGGTTCATAAACCTCTTGTGAGACCGCCTACTAAAAAAGGAGGCTATTTCATGAATGGATCCACTGTACCTGCCTGACTCTCTCTCTTGATTTCAGAATCTGAAGCGTGTGGCAGAGGTCTGGATGGACGAATACGCCGAATACGTCTACCAGCGTCGGCCCGAGTACCGCCACCTGTCAGCAGGAGACATGACGGTGCAGAAGGAGCTAAGGAAGCGGCTCAGCTGCAAAAGCTTCAAGTGGTTCATGAGTGAGGTGGCCTGGGATCTGCCAAAACACTACCCACCGGTGGAGCCTCCTGCTGCTGCGTGGGGAGAGGTAAGAGCAGCTCGACTGAACTGATTAATGAAACTGCATTGATAAGTGTAGAGAAATTAGGTTCAAAGTAGATTAGATTCACACACTGTATATTCAGAAAATCTCTAGAGAGGGTTTCAAATAGATATGGAAATGTGTGTGCAACATGCAGTCATAAGGTAATCAGCTCTCACCCACTGTCAACATTAATATGTTTGTTCATAAGTGATGAAAGTCCTCTACCTTATTATTTCAGAAATAAAAATTTTAAAAATTCAAGGGACAAATATAAAAGGCAAAACAAAAAGAGTGAAATGAGCATAAAATCTATAAAGACTGCCTCTGGCTAAAAGCAGAATAAAAAATTCTTTTTCAGCTTTAGGTTGAAAATGTCAGCGGTTTCTATGGCTGCTCAGACCAAAAGACAGGGCAGCCTTATTTACATAGCCTGTGATGAAACGTGTTTGCAGTAACACCATGTTTGCCTACTACATCTGTAAGTGAAAAAACTGCTATGACATTCATGAAACTGCTTTGTAATAATATTATTTGTAACTCAGTGTACATGTGTTTCTTTGTGTGTTTGTTTTTAGATACAGAACGTGGGCAGCGGCATGTGTATGGAAATCAAACACTTTGTTTCAGGGAGCCCTATCCACCTGGAGAGCTGTGTGAAGGGGCACGGTGAGGTAGCCTGGAGTCATGGACAGGTGAGGGCCATTCAATAGACTTTCTCCACCAAATCGTCTAATGAGTTTTCAGTTTCCTGCCCTGGCATCTAAGAGCTACATGTAGAGTTGTACAGCATTTGATTCATGCTGTGCAGTTGCAGTGTTGCACTGTAAATGTTGTATTTTACTGTAGGTTTAGCCATGAACCAGTTAGTGTACGACCAACAGTAATGTGTTGAAGTTAGGTGACTTCTAATGACCTCGTAGTATGACCCAGGGGAAAGGAGGAGGCTAGGTGATACAGAGTCTGCATTAGCAGGAGATTGGATGGGTCAAAATGTCTGATTCCTGTGTGAAATGTTGTCTGTTGTGTTGTGTTCCACAGCCATGATGTGTTTATTATTGTAACCACAATGACAAGAGTTATTTTAACATAAAAATCACAATCTTTTTCTAAACCTAACCAAGTAGTGTTTGTGCCTGAAGCTAATGAAACTGTGACATTGGTATGTCACAAAATGACAAACTGTGGGAAATTAACAGCTTTTAAATGCAAATGCAGTTTGTATGCTAATATGATCAAGTGCTCCACGCTAAACATAATCTTAGAAATTCATTTCAGGAAAACTGTGAGATTTGACCTTGTGTGCTAAGTCTCATCATTGTTTACCAATCGCACTTGCTTGACACTTACCTGCCTTGAATGCCTCTTTCAAAGAGTGATCTGATAAATAAAATGTATCTAGGAACTTTACCGTCTATATAACGTACAACACAACAACTCTCCATTCTGAGGGAAAATGTGAAATAGAAGTTGCAGGAGAGTAAGAGACGATGGAAACAACCCAGTATTGGTTGTGGCTGATGTTTGTTTCTTGCAGGTGTTGACATTTGGTTGGAGGGAGGATATTCGGGTGGGTGACCCCATGCACACCAGAAAGGTTTGCTTCGATGCCGTCTCCCACAACAGCCCCGTGACCCTGTATGACTGCCATGGCATGAAGGGGAACCAGCTGTGGCGATACAGAAAGGTATAGGAGAGGAAAGTGGAGACCTCTTGTAGAAAATAGTCCTATTTACTGGTGTAACCTTTATTCAGCTTTCCAGCTGTGGAGCTGTTGCGATTTCTTTGGTCAGCTGAGTGTCATCAAGTCAATTAAGGAATCCTTCCATCATGACTGTGGCCATCTGCTGACACCTAATTAAGAGAAAGTGAAAGAAAATTGAAAACTGCATTAACGGCAGACATTACATTTCCCCAGTTCCACTACGTGAAGATGTTTGATTATTATTATTATCAGATTATTGAAATGGCATCAAGTTTTTGTTAGTGCAAAAATGGGTCAGTCCTGTAAAAAAAACAAAAAAAAAACACTTTGAGCCCTGTACAGTATCTCACTGTCCTCCAGTCACATCTGTGAGGCAGTAAGCGTGAGATGAATGGTACATAACAAATATCAGTTGTAAAAATATTTATTTGCACGAATGTAGTGCAAATACGTTATTTAATCTTTCAGTGCCCCTAAAATTAGATCAAGAAATGAAACGGACAGTATGTTTTATATGCTGTATGAATAAGGCTATTCTCTTTATGACTGTCTTTCCTCCAGGATAAGAGTCTGTACCACCCGGTCAGTAACAGCTGCATCGACAGCAGCACGAGCGAGCGGCGAGTCTTCATGAACACGTGTGACCCCTCCTCTCCCAGCCAGCAGTGGCTGTTTGAGAGAACCAACTCCACCGTACTGGAGCACTTCAACCGGGGCACCAACTGAGGGCGCTGGACAGCGAGATGAGGCGTCTTCCAAAGAAAAAGATCAAGAAACAGTTATGACCTTTGATCAGGTGAGTAAAACAAATAACAACTTTTGCTTTTTTTCTGCTTCTTAAGGAACATGATGACATTCTTTCATTGTGAAAAGTGATAGTTTTGTATTTTGAGTGTTAGTTTTTTATCCTGCCTGTGGTCAAACTCCTAGAAATGTTTTGTAATATTTCTGCATACAATCTGAAGGTATTTTGAATACTGACCGTGAGCATTAGTCAGTAAGAACAGGTTGCTTTAAGGAGAGAGAAGGTGCCTCAGAACAATAAGGCTGGTGTTATTTTATTTGTTTTTTCCAACAAATCCCATGAACGGATCAAAACTAACCATGAGTTCATCTATCAAGCATCTCCTCTTTATCTTATTCCTTTGTTCCACTGAGCTCCACTGTTGTCGTTCACGCAGTTGCACTGTTCCTTCACTACCATGAACACGCACAGTAGTTTATTTTAACTTAATCCCACATATATTCTCTTCCTGCTAAATAGAAACGTGTTCATCCATAGCTGAAAGTAGTCCTCAACAAATGTACTCTACTGGTTTTAGTTTGAGTAATATTTACTAAAAACTACAGTATGCAGCAGTTTTACTAAAATACTTTGTCATTTTTTTAAATGAGGCTTTTTTCCCCTTTGTAACAAACCAATGGATCTTGGGCTATGATCACAGACAGGGCAGTGTAAATATGTTCAGAGGCTGCCTTTTTATGGGATTTGTTTACAAGAATTAAAAATAGAACACATAAAAGGTTGTATATACAAAATTATGCTTAACTAAATGGGAAATTTAACTGTTGGCTTGTCTGTAAGCTTATGATTTTGTCTCTGTTTCACAGATAAAATTGGAAGCTAGAGATGCTGCTTCAGAAACATTCCTGGTGGTACAGCAGTGATTCAGTGCTCTGGCTGAGAGCTCAGGGTGCTGAAGAGCTGGATGGACCAACACACACACACACACACACACACACACACTCTGCATCTAGAATACACTGGTACAGCATGATGAGGAAGGAGGTAAAAGAATGCTTGCCTGAGCAACAATCTACTGCCAACTGAAATTCACTTAAAATACAAATACATTTCATTGGCTGTCTGTATTCTGTCCTTTCCTAGGGTGGGAGAACATAGGAAACCTGACTGCCCTGTGGAAACCCAAAAAGCTACAGACAAGAGTTTACAAGAGACAAAAGTGTGCAAATATGCCCCTTTCTGTCACTGCGGGTTTAAGTTTGTCAGACCCAGATTCTGCTGGATTTAAGGAACGTCTATTCTAGTGCTTCTTTAACTGTCTTTTTATATGTTTGGCCTAAAATGTTCTGCAGGATATACATGTTCTTCTTTCATAATACCTGAGGAAAAAAGGCCGAACATATTTTGAACAAGTGTTTCTGCACAATGTGCAGGTGCACAGCCAGAATGTCCTTTTTCAATGAAACATCTTGTACAGACTCATCCTAAAAATGCAAATATTTTTTCTACTACATAAAACAGAATTATGTAAATTGTGTTTGTTTCTTTCTCAAGGTGTTTTTTTTTTCTTCGTTCAAATGCTTAATATTTTATAGCTAGGCTTAGAGGCCTGAGGTGAATATCCAGAACATGAAACCAGAGAATGTTTCTTCAGTCGGGATAAAGTCCTAGCAAGGCAAGACTGTATGCAAAAATACAGCTACTATTTAAAAAAGCTTAACATGTTATCACACATATATGTTAAAAGCTTAGACAACCTCCTTCTTCCCGCTGATGACTGAGTACCAACAGGTGTGCAGTTTAGAACCTGATGCAGTCACAGAAGCACACATTTAATAAATAAAAGTGAGGATATCCCAGCATTAGGGATACGAGACTGCACTTCATAACCAATATACTGTAAAGCTGATAGATCCAAATTTGATGTGTCCCTTTAACTGCAATCTGCAGAAATGGAAGATAGAAACTAAATAGTCTGAAGCTCTTTAAGGTTGTAACAATCACTGAGCTTTGCTGAGAAGCTTATTGAAGTCTCTGCCTCTTAGTTTCTTTGTCTTAGCGAAGACCTTTATCTGTTTTTAGGCTGTCACATCACAACAGGTTAAAAAAAGAAATACAGCATGTGAAATAACAGAGCTAACAGTTGTGCAAGAAGAGAAGGGTCATCTCTACAACTGACCCGCAGTTAAAACATTTGCATAGTAATGAAATAAAGATTTGTAATATTGTATAAATCGTACACCCACAGTGTGCCAGCTCCAGCACCATGTGTTTGACCACTCGGGTCCTTGTTCGGCATCTATATAGGAGCACAGACATCTTATTGGAAACCTGATAAAACCAAGGTCACACAAAACTCATAATCTCGGCTCAGTGTGGAGATGAAACCTGCACAGCCAGCCAACGTTTCCCCACAAAGGACAGCAGCTGCTGAGGTCCAGCATTAATTTGCCACTTCCACTTTTTTATTGACAGAGTGAGTCACCGAGCTCAGTTGCAAACCCAATTCCCATGTATGAGTCCTGGGAAGTCACTGGTTGTCTAATGCCACCCAGATCAATGCAGAAATCGCTCCAACCTCAGTCTAACCTTGGTCTTTCAGTTGTCAAGGGTAGAAAGATATTGGTGCAAAATAAAACTTCAGTTACCAGACATTTCAAATTTGTGTGGATGCCGCTGCAAAATTTTAAATATTGTCTAAATACAAATTATTTTAGCTTTGATACATCACTTATAAATATATATATATATATATATATATACAGGCTCACATACCTAGTACAAATTCAAACAATAATAGAAAAGTCTTACAAGACACCACAGAAATTTCAATTTTTAATACTTTCACAAAAATTTCTAAAAACATTAGATTTTATTATGAAGAGTTATTGAGTTTAGACTGATTCAAAACTAAATTTACAACAAAATAAAATGAAGGGGTCGGAATGTTTACTGAAGCCATTTGTTAGGTTCTTGCGCAGACTTTGTCATTTTTGTCAGTGCAAACAGATTAGTGTGTAGTATACAGTAGTTCAGTAACGATGTGTCCCAAACCTCCGACATCCAATAAAACACTTTGCAGCTTTAAAAGTAACTAATTATCAGACTCATTTGTGCAAAATGATAAACCACCACCATGTTCTTTGTCTTGTTAAAATCTGAATGGCTCCGTGTGTTTTAGTGATCACTGAAATCTACAACAGTGGACGTTTCCACACAGTTAATTCAAGCATTGAGAAGTGAAAAGTGGTTTGAAGTGACAGGCTAGCACATGTTTTGATTAAACAGACTGTTTTCATTCACTTCCAGCTCTTCCTCGTGATGTGTCTGAAACTGTCAACTTAAGCTCTAAACAGATGCAGAGACAATCAGAAATGAATGGCGGGTAATCTTCACAATTACTGACTCTGTAGCTGTATGTGTAATGTTCTGTGTCGAGTCAATTTCACAAAGGGGGAGACCCACTGTCATTTAAATTCCATTTCCTACACATCCAGCTCCCCGTTCGCCTCCATCCTATTATGACCCTACAAATTACTCCCACTCCTTTTGATAATGTGCGATACGAACAGACAGCATAAAATGGAAAGATAGATACAAGCCGGAGACAAATGCTGAAAACAATTCTAATTGAATCCTTCTATGGAAAAAAACAAACTATTTTCCTTTTTTTTTTAGTGTCAACTGTTATCTTGCATAACTGACAAATGTCAGAAACGGCGCGTAATGCGGCTGAAAAGTGTTAGGTGAACTTAATTAAATGGTCAGACGAGGAAGTGTTGAACAAAACCGTCTCTTTATTAAGAGAACTAACGTTGAACAACAGAAAACCATACAAGACACGGTGAAAACACAAAATTCACATGTCCTTAACAGTCCGAGGTCAGAGCCAGCAAACACATCCAACAGAGGTGATCCAAAATACGTAGTCCAGAGGGAAGTCCGATATCATACACTGTGTCCGAGACAAGAGGGCAAAGCAGAAACGAATATACCAAGGTAACAGTCCGGGTCAGAAACACAAAATACCAAAACCGAAGAAAATGCTGGAAAGTCAGGGGTCTAGAACAATCTGAAATAGAGGTGCAAACAATAACGAAACAGGTGAAACTAATGTGAGTGATGAAGAACGCAAAAAGACCGAAACTAAGGTGAAACAAAAACAGGAAGTAACGTCAAAATAAAAGCCGGACAGGAAGCAGCGGAACCGAATCATGACAACAAATATGTTTGCAGAAAAGAGTCATGTTGAAAGGTAGCTTATTACGATGTGTGTTAACTGAGCTAATACCGGAATTAGTCACATGTTGGAGATAAGAGCTAATGAGTCCTCAGATGCAACATGACATGACTCGAGGTGAAGCAGCGGTTTCTCTCTCTGGGGAGTTGCTTGCTGACAGTGTGACTAATACCCAAATGCTCCTCCTGGCTTCCGATTCACTCAGTCCAGGGAGCCAGGAGAGGTGTGACAGAGCTGCTCTGCTCATAACCTATCACCTGAATAATTACAGTTAACCCGCTTCTCCACAGGGCTTTGCTGCTATAAACGGCCCTGCTGTCACACACTAATGGAAAATCACAGCAGCAGCAATGCTGCAGTGGCAGGTCCAGGTCACCGGGGACCTGGGGCCATGTATTCAGGTCAAATTCTTTAGCACTCCTCGCTGTTTGAAAAAGCGGGTCGGAGCTATTTTACGTTGATGCTTTTACAGTACAGCATGTAACACATCCTCTGGCAACCATTTTACATTTCACTGCAGTAAGAAAAAAGTAGAATTACCACTTTATGGTTGTATGCCTCAGCCAGCCAGCAAATTCATGGGAACGAGACAGACGTGAGGTCACCGAGCTTGGCCTTTGACAACAAAAATCTAATCAGTTCATCCTTGAATCCAAGTGGACTCAAGAAATTTCTTCACGGCTTTCCTGACATATTGATTTACAAGACTGGGCCAGATGTACAGACGGACAACCTGAAAACATAATCCCTCCATCTGAGGAGGCAAAAAAAAGAACCAAAAGAGAGAACTATACACACTACCAGTGAAATGTTTGAACACATTTTTCCAGTGTGTCCAGACACGCCACTGGTAGTGAGGCTTGTTTGTGCAAATTCCAGTTGCAATGTCACTGTTCTTCTGTTTACACTGACAGAAAACTAAAGGAGTATACAAAATCATTTTGAATAAAACTAGTGTCGGTCAGAAAGTTGTCTGCTTCCATCTTGTAGAAGCATGTTCACATCTCGTTCCTTGGCTCAGAAACCTGACTTTACAGTACCTGCATTCTTTGGATAACAGTAATCTGAAGCATCTGTATTCCAGATTCAGGACAGGTGGATTTTACCCACTTGTTCTTTTAAACCACCATGAGCCTTCCCACACCATGTTCCTCCTGGAGGGATGGGATGTTACCAATCGGTCATGAGGGGGTTCTGTGATTGTTGAGTAGTTGCTGAAACATGGCCAGTGCCTCAATACAGTTACTGCCAGTAAAACACCATCTGTGCCACCAGACCACAGTTTGGGGAGCCACAGCAAACATTCTGAAGACTTTTGTAAATGCAAAATTTCAGTTTTTGAATCTCATTACATTTGCAAAACAATCCTAAAAAAACACGGTTTCGCTTTGTTATTTGGGATTATTGAAAGCAGAGTGACTGTAGGTAAATTACAGGCAGGAGGAAACCGCAGACTGGAGCTGTGGCAGAACAACAGGGTTTTGACAGGGCCGTGCAGAAACACCCGCTCACCATACTGCACTTTGTTCCTCGATGGTTGTTGGCGACACTCGCGTGCTGCTGTCACCTCTGTCTTTGAACAGATTTGTACAGCGTGCACATATATATTCTGTTCAGGTTGCCAGCGCCAGGCACACGGCCAAAAGCAGCTCGCTTGCATGAGCCAAATTGCTCTTCACCGGCTCTTCAGCTGAGAGAAAGCCATAAAAAATGTCAGCTGGAACTTAGAGTTTACATTACATAACAAGGTCTATACTGGTGTTTTTGCATTTTTACTCCATTTACTACAAATCAACTACTTATGCAGTAATTTAGCTTTGAGTGTTTCTTCCACCCTTCAGGCAGCCATTACTCTGTTTATTTTACTGCAGTGTGGAAATCAACTCACAGAGACATGAAACTTACTTGAAGTCAGAAGTCACAGTGAGCATCGTGTCTTCAACAGCAATAAACAGGACTCGGGCTCAGGAGGAAATTTTTTATGGAGAGCACATAATTCAAGTAACTTGTTATTTGTGGGTCAGGCAGACTTTCACTGAGCCGCCAAGGACACAGACTTGATCTCTGGCTGGGACAGTTTGTGTTCAGTTAGTGTGTGTGTGTGTGTGTGTGTGTGTGTGTGTGTGTGTGTGTACTTGCTCTCTGTCTCTTTTTTCTGATAAATTTTCATACATGCACACACACAGCTGACTCTGCAAAAGGTCATTGTACTTTACTGTATTTGCTGATGTAAAACAGGACTGAATCTTTGAATTAACATAAGATGTATAAAACTGACATGTGATAGATTGTCAAGAAAGGTTGCAAGAAAATAAATAGAGGATAAGTGGTGGAGAGCACGTGAACAATCTCATAAGAAAGTGCCTTCGGTAAATAGCTCAGTGTTGATAGAAATGTTGCAGTTGCTGATGCAAAGTACTGCTAATGGGAAGTCCAGTGAAAACCAGAGCTGCCGCTGGCTTCAGGGTGTTCACCGTGTGGAAAATCCCCTTATGGAAGGAGCTGTGTTTAACCCCTTAGGGGTGTCATATGTAATCAAAACCTTGTTTAATTGCCTGTTAAATCACTTAGAGGTAAACAATATACAAAGCATTATGAAATTAGGTTTGAATGTATAAATTACAATAAATCATTTGAATTTATTCTTAAAAGTCTGAGGGAACTGGAAAGAATTGTATCAGACCAGAGGGATATCTGTTCAGATGTCCAGAAACGTGCCACTACTGTATCCAAGTTTGCCCTGATTGGCACAGGCAAAATACACGGTTATTTACGAGCTAGGTTTGGTTTGTTAGGTCATTCTGACTGCAGGGTGGAGCCTAGCTTCCGGGCTCCACAGGAGACATGGCTTGAAAAGAGTGTAAGCT